AAAATAAGGGGCACCTAGGTGGCTCTGATGGTTAAGTGTCTGTCTTCGGCTCAGGTCATAATCTCTAGGCCCTGGGATTGAGCCCCGAGCTGGGCTCCCAGCTTGGCCGGGAGACTGCTTCTCCCTCTGCCTCTCCTCCCTGCTGGTGCCCCTTCTCTCTCAAATTCTCTCTCTCTCTCTCTCAAATGAATTAAAAAAAAAAAAAATCTTAAAAAAAAAAACCAAAATAAAAGCCACAAACTTAAAACATTTCCCTTTGAGAGCTGAGCATGGTAAATCTAAAGTAATAATAGTTCCCTTGTTAAGCACCATTATTGTTAACAGTTGAAGGGAATGTCCACAAACTACTAGTGTACACATAAAAATTGTACCTAATGCAAAAAACACAGGGCCTGGTACATTTTTGTCTAGCAAGTGCTTCTCAAACTTGATTGTTCATAAGTTCACCTGGGGATCTCATTAAAATGCTGATTCCGTCTCATCAGATCTGGGTGTTGCGGAAATTCTACATGTGGAACAGGCTCTTGATGGCTGCTCTGGGGCCCACCCTTTGAGTAGGGAGGCCGCAATGTGAAGTATGTGAGGTTTGAAAACAGCTGGACCCGAGTGAGATCCTGACTCCACCACTTACAAGCCGAGTGACCCCCGGAAAAGTACTGAACTGCTCTGAGCCAGATTCCACCATTGGTTAAAAGGGAAATAACAAGGACACCCTCTTCTCATGACTCTAGTGAGTAGGTGAGCTAGCAGCCCCAGGCGGATGCACACCCTGAACTGCATCCCATGCCATCTGCACGGTAGGCTGAAAATGGCCCCCAGACATGTCCTCACCCCAAATCTGTGAATGTGTTATCTTACACGGTAAAAGGGGCATTTGCAGATGTGATAAAGTTAAAGATCTTGAGATGGAGACGTTATCCTGGGTTATCTGCGTGGGCCAATAATCGTAAGGGTGTTCACAAGAAAGAAGCAGGAGGGTAAGTTTACAAGAGAGAATATGAGAAGATGAATCAAAGGTGAGAGGAGAGAGAAGATGCTGTGCTGTTGCCTTTGAAGATGGGAGGAAGAGGCCACGGCCCAAGAAACGTGGGCAGCATCCAGAAGCTGGAACTTCTAGAAAGACGGCAACCCTGCACACCCACTCTAGACTTCTGACCTCCAGGACCGTAGGAGAATATATCTGTGTTTGTTTGAAGCCACGAGGTTTGTAGTAGTTTGTTACAGCAGCCGTGGGATACTCATACACCAGCCACTGGAATAATGTTAAAGCGGGCTTGCCTCGCTTCACATAACAGAGGACTTCCGGAGCTGAATCGTGAACTACGATGAAATCACGTAACAGTTGCCCAAGCGGAGGTCAACAAACAAAGGCTCTTCAAAGGAGCCTTTATCTCTAGGGAAGACTGTGTTCTGCACGCTCTGTTTTGTTTGGTTGTAGCAATTTTTAATCAACGGGCCAGACATGCACATTAATAACGAACCATTCTATGGCCTGAAAGGAACTCTTGTACTCGAACTGCATCACCACATTCCTATCTGTCAAGTCCTCACGTGACCTGCTGAAAACTCAGAAGGTTCCTGGGGACAGTACCAGTGGGTCAATGCCTCCACGTCAGGGCGACCCAACAGTCACCCTGGGCTTCAGCCTGAAGGACTGAAAATCAATGGTCTCAATATTTGTACAAATCTCCACTTGCTATTTATAATGTGGCTTATCCCATAGAGAAGCTTTATAAAATAAGAAAAAAAAATAAGGTAACCAAAAAGACATCTGCAGAATGAAAACATGTGATTCAAAACTAACTAGACTTTGTCCTGCATTTCTGGAGCTTTCCCTAAAGGCCGTGGTACCAGGAGGGCCCCTCACCATCCCTGGTTTCACACTTCCCTTACCTGACTCTAAGCTCCACGGAAGAGCTGCCCTTTCATTTCCAACCATCGTATCCACAGCACCTAGGGCTTTAACTGGCACTCAGTGGGCACACAGTAAGTATTTGTAGATGAACAAATATTGTGATGAATATGTATAATGGAAAAGTGCCATTATGACTTTCATTAGAAAGAGCATTATTCATAAAGTTCTTTTTTCTCCAGTTTGAACTTAAAACTACTTGGCCCAGGATATTATTTATGGTAGAATTAAAAGTATGCTTTCTGATTTTATTTGCTTATTAATACATGCATCTGATAATTAACAATGTGCTAAGCAGTCTAAGCAAATAATTACTTTTCTAGTGTCTGCCCCTGCGTATGAGCTAAATAAGGAGGAAGCCACTAATTGCATATTAAAAAATGGTAACTAGCTTTAAAACATTCTGTTTAATCTCAGACCACAATATTCAAAACAGTTACAGTCCTTCCACTGGCTCAGTTACAACCCCACAAAATAGTCCAACTCTTCAGAACAGATGTGAATTCTGCTCGGGTCACACTGAATATAAAATTATGTGTTCAAAAGATTGCCGGTTCACATTTATAAGGTCTTCTGACCAACGGAAAAAGTTGATCATAAAAACCATATTTTTTAATTTACTATGCTCAGTATATTTTATTCAGGAAGCAATGAAATTGCACAGAGAGCTTTCATTTTAAATCTTATTTTGAAATATGACTGAATACATTAACATAATTCAGAATGAGTCGGTAAACATCTACAAAAACATGTTATATAATTTTAGTGAGCCTATAACATTTCTTTCTTTTTTCTTTTTTTTAAGATTTTATCTATTTATTTGGCAGAGAGAGAGAGTGCATAAGCAGGGGAAGTGGAAGAGGGAGAAGCAGGCTCCCCTCTGAGCAGGGAGCCCGGTGAGGGGCTCAATTCCAGGACCCTGGGATCATGACCTGAGCCGAAGGCAGACGCTTAACCGACTGAGCCACCCAGGTGCCCCTACATTTCTGTTTTCAAAGAAAAGAAGCCACGGGACATAAAATTTGTAAAATTGGAATCTGACCTTCAAGTGTCCAATAAAAGCAGAAGTTTGCTTACTGGATGGTCCAGAGTGAGAGATCTAGCTGATGCTACAGTGCATATTGGGCCAAATTATTCCAAAGAACCTAGCTAACAGCAAATCAAACCATTTGGAAGCAGTATTAATCTGGTCAACTATGGTATTACCTTGGCTTTACCTGGTAAACCAAGACTCCGAGTCCTGCTATGATTTCTAACTCCTTTAGAAACCGGGGCACTCTGTGGTCACTTCAGCAATGTACAATATCAGCACCAGGAAACCCTCGGTCGAGGGTCACCAAGGATGGCCCAGTTCACAAGCAGCTAAGATTGTACCTCTCTACAAAACAAAACTCAGCACCATCCTGTGAATGTGCTTCTGTACCAAGCTGCTGAGACGTCCACCACCTGCACAGAGAGACAGAGTTGTCTGACCCTTCATTGTGAAGCCCCAAGCCACTGAGGTTTTGAATGCTTACTGCATCAATGGGCTCTTGGTTCAGAAATGGAGGCTCTGAGAAGGAAAGGGGTCGGTCCAAGTTTACCCAGCACATCAGTGGCAGGTGTGGAGCTGGGTCTCTGTCCACTGCCTTATTTTCCTTCTTCCCCACCTTGCCGCTTTTGCATAAGCCCAACAGCAGGACAGGTTCTCCAGGGATGACCACCCTGGGTTCTCCCCAGTGGGACCCAATGAATGACATGGGCATGTCCACATCCATGACTTTGTGTTAAATACCTATAAACAGAGAACGAGGGCAGGCCTGAGGGTTCCTCTTGCTCATGATACTCACTGGACCTTGGGGACAGTGACTTTGGGCAGCCCCTTTCCCATTCTCACATCTTCATTTTGGGATTCTTCTGGAGAGGTAGGCTGCCAGACAAGTGAACCTTGAGGGGGGAAGAATGAATGCACACCAGCTTACCACAGAGTGCCTCAGCTTCTAAAGGCCCTGGAAATCACAAGACTCAGAGCCCAGGTTTACAAGACAGTATTAGCCAAAGCAAACATGCATGGCCACCACGGTGTTTTCTGCAATGGTCTTCAGGCCCACTGCTGCTCCAAAGGCAGAGACCACTGTTCCACTAAGGGTGACCATGGTGGTCTACTCTACCTCTCTGATCGGCAGGCGCAGTTCCATCTGCTTATACTTGCTCACTGGGCTTTACTCTTGCCTGGGGGAGAAGGTATCAGAGGAGGAAACAAAAATGCAAGAGAGTTCTAGAAGGCATCTCTTATTTTTACATTCTATCTCTCTTGTCTTGAGGGGAATCATTCTGCTTCAGACCACATTGCTGCAGCAGAGATGACCCCACACCCTGGCTTCAAGGGGCCATGTGAGCTGGACAGCTGTCAGTCTGGGACTTTGATTGGACCACCAAGAATAAGGCTCTTTCTTTCTGTTGTGGGTTCTATGAGAAGGATGTAAAGCTGGAGCTCCCAGGAGCCACGACCTAGAGAGAGTGCCTGTGTAAGAATGAGGTCAACCCAGAGGAAAGCAGGGCTGAGTGAGAGAGACCAAGTCCTGATAACAACCTCTGAGCCTCTGGATCCAGCCATACCTGAAGCCCAGATTTGCCCCTGGATGTTACAGTCCCGTAAAGGAACATGCACCTTTAATTTAAAACAAAAATTCAGTTTAAGTTAGATTTCTGTCACTTGCAAATGAAAAAGCACAAAGACAAGAGAAATTAAAGTGTAAGAAGAGAGGAAATAAGAGAAGATTACACTTATGGATATGGTATCTGGAAGCAGTTCAAGCTTGTCCCCTGGAAATAAAGGTGACATGTGGGAATCTGTTCCATTTTTCAGAGTAAGTTCAGATCATCAGAACTGTAGCTCTGCCTAATTACTGTGATTAATCTCGCCAAATTCTAAATATAAAATGAGGGTGCATTTCCTGACATTCAAGGATACTCCCAACAGCCATGGAGAGAAGGAATAGGCCATTACCGAATAAAGACATCTCTTAAGAGAAATCTTTTTTTTTTCCCTGCTCAAATGCAGTCATGACTGGGAGGAGAGAGGTCACATCAACAGCGCAAGTCTTACCTGGCATGGCATGGATGAGGTCCCCGCAAAGAACAAAGAACCTGGGTTTGGGCTTCAACTTGTTGATGGCCTCAACAGCTTGCTCAGTTAGACGGATCTCCTGCCCCCACTCATCACCACCACTGTCACTGTCCCCAGTGGACCAGGCCTTCATTAGTCCAAACTGTGGGTCTGCGCCTTGGATGAAGTAGAACGGGCCTTTCCATTCCCTTTCCTTTTCTTGTAAAAACAAAGAGGGAAAAAAAAAGGAGAGGGAAGAAATATTATAAAATCTGTCAGGGAAAGCATCCAGGTTATCGTGCAAGTGGATACAATATTTTTCTTAAATTAAGTAGGTCATTTTAATAAGCTGCTGTTCAAACATACCATTTTCCTGTCATAGTCTAGAGGATTTTGATTTATACTAATTATGCCTGGGACGTGGTGATTCCCAAAGGCTAGGAAAGACCACGTGGGCCGCAAAAGCCAGGCAGCCAAGCTGTTTGTTTAGAACTAGCCGGCCAAAATGGAGCGCAGAGGCACACCAGCCACGCTGCATAGAGGGTATTAATGTTTAATAATAGTTTTTAAATTAGAATTAAAAATACCAGAAATTGAAAGCTGCCAGAAGTATTATATTTAAATTACTAGGTGAAGTGCTTTCGAATCTTTTATGCCAGGCTTAATGGCACAATTTGCACTGTTTCGGGGGATGTGACAGAATTTTAATTATAAAACTTGGAGCTTGGAAGCTCTGGCTATCTGGTAGGAAATGCAGTGCCAGAAATGAAATCTTGAAATGAGTTAGTCAACGAGGAAAAAAAAAAATTGATGCTAACATTTCAAAGGCTGCATGATGTGGGCTTAAGCGAGGTGTGAGGCTAGGGAGTGGGGGGAAGCGGGGGTGGGGGGAGGAAGGGAGAGGGGATTCTTTATGTTCTTGGGAAGGGCACTAGATCACTTGCACCAAAATTATTAGGTTTGCCCTTCCTATTGGTTCCGCTGAACCTAAGCTCTGTGGGCCACAGGCCTCTACCCTTGTTAGCCAAAAGGACTGCAACCAGTAACTGTTTTGCAGAGTTGGAATGGCCATTGGTGGGCATGGAAGCCCTGTGGGTGTCAAACCTCACCCCCCGCCCCTGGTGACAGCATCCTTTCTTCAAACAAAATCTTACATGGTAGACCAATGTTGAAAAACAGAGCCGCCTCTGCCTGAGCTGGATCTGAGGACAGGGCAGTCTGAAGACCCCCAATCTATAGCCCCTGCATTTATCCACTAAGAAAACGGAGACCCAGAGAGGGGACATGACTGACCTAACGGCCACCAGCCATCAGTGGCAGGAACAAAACCACAATTGTGAGGCTGTTTTCTTCTTTTTAACAAATTAGTATATTTTGCATGTTAACTGAATAAGTGGCATTTCCTTTGGAAGTCATGAAGATATTACGATTTCCAAAAAGCTCCTTGGAGTCATTTCACATCTGTGTGCTCAAGTCATTCATCGATTCAATAAGTATTTACTGAGAGCCTACTGTTGGCCATACGTGGTGCTGACGATACATGGCTGGACCTAGACAGAGGAGGCCCCTGATCTCCTGGGCCTTAGTCCGCCCGGGGGAGACGGACTGTGAACAAGGAAATGAGCAGGGAATGGAGCCGGAGCACCAGGTCTAGGAGCAGGAAGGCAGAAGTGATGGCTAATTTCAACTGGATGCACAGGGAAGGCCTCTCTCTGAAGCATGTCATCTACACTGAGATCTCACTGGCAAGGAGCCAGTCTAACCTTTCTAAATTTTGTCGCCACCCGCCCACCCACCATGCCTTGCTTACTGTCATCTTAGAGTGGATCTCTGACTTTAGGCCTCCCTTCCTTCTCAATTCCTTTTTCAGAACCTAAAAATGCAAACGTGCGAACTACCTGCACATACTGTATAGAACAAATTGTATATGCAAGTTAATCCGCCAGTTCTGGACCCACAGCTCAGATTGTTAGCTGCTTAATCAAATCACAACCAACTTGAACTCAATCTGAACAAGGAGTGCATAAAACCCTGGAGTATGCATCTTGTTGCTAAGTACGGGGATCGAGCGCGATGATGGATGTGAACTCGTATTTATGGAGCCCTTACTACATGTGGCAGAAGGACTCCAAGAAGGTCCCAAAGATCCCTGCATTGTGATATTCACATCCTTGTGCAATCCCCTCCCCTTGAGTGTGGCCTGCACCTAGAGACTTTGTTCTTATAAGCAGAATACAGCGATGGGATGTCCCTTCAGGGATTAGGCTACACCATGATATGGCAACAATCTAAATGTACCTCGATGGATGCATGGATAAAGAAAATGTGGTATATATGTACAATGTAATATTACTGAATCTTAAAAAGAAGGAAACCCTGCCATTTGAAATAACCTGCATAGACCTAGAAGGCACTCTGCTAAGTGATATAAGCCAGCCACAGAAAGACAAATACTACCTGATCTCACTTCCGTGTGGGTTCTAAAATAGTCACACTCAAAGAAGCAGAGTAGAATGGTGGTTTCCAGGGGCTGGGAGGAGGGGGAAATGGGAGAGGTGATGGTCAAAGGGTACAAAGTTTTAGTTCTACAAGACAGAGAAGTTCTGGAGACTTACTGTACAGCATAATGTCCACAGCTAACAATACTGTACTGTATACATGAAATTTGCTAAGAAGGTAGAATCTATGTTAAGTGCTCTTACCACACACACAAATAATAATAATAATAATATAATAATAATAATAATAATAAAGAGGTTGCAGGAAACTTTGGGAAACGATGATACGTATGTTTACGACCTTGATGGCAGTGATGGTTTCACAGGTGTTTACTTATCCCCAAACTCATGGGGTTGTACACATTAAATATATACAGCTTTTTACATGTCAATCATGCCTCAATAAAATGGTTAAAAAGAGAGAGAGGAGAGAGAGATTAGGCTAGAAAAAGACCATGACTTTCATCTTGCTCGCTCTCTCTCAGGGCCCTTCTCTGGAGGTAAAAGGCTGCCATGCTGGGACTCACCTACTGGAGAGGCCAACACGGTAAGGAACAGAGGAAACAGCCTGTGAAGAGCAGAGACACTCCATGCAACAACCCACAAGGAGCGGAATCCTGCCAACAACCACGTGAGCAGACTTGGAAAAGGACTCTCCCTTAGTCGGGCCGTCAGATGAGACCACAGCCCCAGCTGACACGGTGCCTGAACCCAGTGGGAGACCCTGCAGCCAAAGGATCCTGCCAGGCAGCACTCAGATCCACACAGAAACTGTGAGATAGCTCTTTCAAGCTGCCAAGTTTCATGGTACTCTGCTACAAAGTAATAACAGATACTGAGCATTAAAGATACAGAGTCGGCAAAACTTCTTCAGGAGTTGAAGGCTGGTGTCATAAAAAAAAAAATGAGACTCCAATTTGTGTTTTAAAATTAATTGTTAGCATTATTCATTTATTTTAAATAATAAACTTTTTATACTGAATGCTTTTAGCGACATTCCTGTTTCTGAGGCAGTTTGCAGAGCTGTTTAAACTGGGTAAATTAATCAGAACCAGATCAGGGAGGTGATTGTCACCCCAAGGTTGGTGCATAAATCAATCTTCTATAACAGAGAGAATTTATAAACAGTTTTCTACAGCAAACATTTTAACGAATATAGTTTCCTACAACAAATAGTCATCGTCTCGAAAAGTCAATAATCCTTGGAAATAAATCTTTCATTATTATTTGTTTACTTAGTAAAATCTTGGATAGAAGCTCAATTTTATGATGACAAGGTACAAAATAAATAGACTTGACCTGAAATAAATGACAGCTCACATATCACTATTCCACCTGCCTTATCTATGTAATAAGAGCAATTTGACTTAGCGCTCTGCCTTCTCAAAAGCACCTGGGTCCTCTTAAAGTTCTACTACAGAAGCTTGTGGTCTTCAGTCTCATCTTAATATTAATGAAGGCTGCATTACGGGTATTTGAGACTTAATAATGCTTAGTTGCAGAGGGAGGAATCTTTTGTAAATGTCTACCTTCCCCATCCCTCAAAACGTTATGAAAGTGAATGCTTAACAACACTTGCCTTAAACTATTTTGCCAAAGTCCAGAGTCACACCCAGGGCAGGGCCCAGGTATTAGCTGACATCTACATCTTGCTATGCCATCTCCTGCAGGGCAGAGCACGTGTCTGACCCTGGCACAGTCCAGCCGCTTTCTTTAGACTCCCTGAAAACACTGTTCCGGCCATTCAAGCCATAGAAGTTCAGAATGTTGAGGTCTATTCCCGAAGCACCCCAATACACAATCAGAGCATTTTTTTAAAAAAAGATTCTATTTATTTGACACAGAGAGAAAGTGCACAAGCAAGGGGACAGGCAGAGGTAGAGGGAGAAGCAGGCTCCCCGCTGAGCAAGGAGCCCAATGTGGGGCTTGATCCAGGACCCTGGGATCATGACCTGAGCCAAAGGCAGACACTTAACCGACTGAGCCACTCAGGCACCCCAATCAGAGCATTTTTAATTACTGAAAAAAAGAAAGACACTTAGGCATCCAGCAAACTTTTTTTTTTTTTTAATTTTCCTAGTCAAAGAACTTAATTATGGGACTGCTTGGGTAAGTGGTAAAGGCCTGATAACCCCCCAAAAAGGAGAACTGCTGAAGTGGAGGCTGAGGGAGAAGGTGGGTATGACAGGAGGGCACTAATGAAGCATGCTGCACTGGGCGCGAGGAGCAGGGCTGGGTCTACACCTCAGGCCTCAAGGTGTGGCCCCTGCACCAGCATCAGCATCAGCATCAGCACCTGTGAGCTTGCTCAAGAGGCAGCATCTCAAGCCCAGCCCAGACCTATGGAGGCCCAGTGTGCATTTTAACAGATCCCCCACGTGATCTGTATGCAAATCCAGGTTTGAAAAGCACTGACCTGTAACTAATCAAGGAACTGCTTAAACGTGTTTGATCAGAAACAGGTGCAAAGTGATTTTTGTTTCCCTAAACTGAAATGGCTTGGAGGATTGGTTGTTGTTTTGCATATTTTCCTATTGATGGGTTTTTTTTGTTTCATTTTATTTTTGTTTTGCATATGTTCTTGTTCATTTTTAGGTCCCTATCTGTGTCCAGCCCAGGTAATTTCCAAAATTGATAAAAGAATGCAGTCAGGGACCCTAACTGGTGACTATGATAAGGCCAAGGTCAAATTTTGAGATAAACTAAGTACTTGTAGAATGA